GTAGGGGTAGGGTATGGTTGTGTGATATTTGTTGGGGGGGGGGGAGTGGGGACCCCCCCATGGCACAGCCTCCGTAGGCAGCAGCAGCAGCAGGCAGGGGCACTCAGGGTCCTCATACCTGGCGTAGGCACTGCTGCCTGTGGGGTGCGTGGCTCGACCCAGCACTGCATATTGAGGTGAGGAGCACAGCCTGGCTGAGCTGCCTCTATCGCCAGGACTGCCTGCCAGATGCATGCAACTCCCTCATTCACGCACCACCAGAGAAAAGCTCCACACGCTGGAGCTGGGTGCGTTCACTGATCCCTGCCGTGCAGGTCCAAGGACTGCTGGAAACAGAGGGGAGCCCCGGCCCCTGTGCATGTGTGCGGTGGGGAGCTCCAGAGGTAGAGGTGGATCAGCTGGGCTGAGCTCCTTGCCACCACATGCAGCACTGGCTGGAGTTGTGCGCTGTCGGGCTGCAGTGCCTGCACCAGGCACGAGCTCCCTTGCCTGCTGCTGTTGCCGCCACCTGCAGCGGCTGCGCACCATGGGGAGAGTGGGGGGGGTCCCCACGCCCCCCTCACACCACACACTACCCACCTGAGCTCTGTGCTGATGCCAGCCCCAGCTCCACGCTGGCCTGGCAGCAGCTCAACCCCCGCAGCTTCCTTACCTGCTGCGCAGAGCGAGTGGGACACGGGAAGCTGATCAGGTTCTCTAGCGGCTGCAGCACTGGCAGTAGCAGGCACATCTGGAAGCTGTGTGCTGGTTGGGCTGGGCCCTTCTGCCCTTGAGGATGGGAGAGAAGCACAATAAAGTATGTTGGTGGGGGGTGTATATGTGGGTGCCTCACTCCCACCCTCGTGGATGAAAGGGCTGTGCAGGGTACAATTAGTGGTTGCCATGAGCTGGATGAAAGTGCCTGGCAGGCCAGATTTTGTCTGCCCCTGCTGTATGCCATTCCCTTTTAGTGAGGCAGGATTAAGTAGACTACTTCTAACAGGTGTTTTCCTAACCTGTTCTTAAAAACTTCTGCAAGGAAAGCGTTGGGTCAGGAGAAAAATGTCATGTTTCAGTCTGCAGCTCTCTAAGATGGCTATGAAGAACAGTATAAATGCTGAGGGGCTGGGCTCCAGTGAGAGAGGTAATCTGTTGACACACGCCTCTTTCCATGCCTGTTCTGTGTCCCATTCCACCTCTTCCATATAGTTAACTAGGAGTTATCTGGCTTGGGTGGCTGTTCTGAAACGGCAGTAAAACTTAGTATAGAAATAGTGCTCTAAGTTAGGCATAACAATTGCTCCATATTGTTGCAGATTTGGCCTAAATTTTTTAGCAACACATGACTTCTGCGGCCTAGCAACTTTGCATTTTGCCCCAGCCAAATTCAAGTAAACTTCAGAGGCATTTAATTTAAATGCGAAACAATAATAGATTTTACATTATCCCTCTTTATGCAGTTGCAGAATGAATTAAGCATGAATTTGAAATGTTTCATCTTCAGATCCTCCTAAACTTTCAGTTTTTGTCATTACAGAATTTAAACAAAATTGTTGAAGTCAGACAGGGGGAATAAGCTCAAGGTTTTGACAAGTGGGAAGAGGAAACCAAAGAAATGTGATACCAAGAAAAATGTGGGAAGTATTGGGTATTAGCCTTCAGGTGTAATGGAAGTTTTTGTCACACAGGCATAAGTGACCCAGCCATCCCTCTCCTCTGGAAATAGAGTTGCAGCTTGGATGAATAGGCAGATCTTTCTGTAAATATAGGAAAGCCATAGTGATCAGTTTTTGGAATGTTTTTCGTAGCTCTGAATACTACAGTGTTACAACATGTATAAAAGCTTAGCTGTGGAGTGTAGTTCTTCAGCAGAGGTGGGAGTTGCTGCTTCAGCCAATTTCACAAATATGAGTAAAGGAGGGTTCCATGTATACTCTTAAACCAGGTGGATGATATTTGTGATGCATGTGATTAGTCTGGAGTAGTTTGGAGAGGTGGCTTTCACTGTCACCCAAGTCAGAAGCTGTCTTAGTTTTTTTTGATGCAATAGCAGGAAAGACGCAAGTAGAAAGGAGGATGTGGTTCTTGTTACAGTACCACTTTTTCTCTCACTTATCAAGAGACTTGTGAGCTTTATGATTCCTCTTTGCATTTTATAGCATCACCTGCTCTTGCCTTTTTAAACCTTGCTTTAACCTATTCATCTGTTAATGTCATATTATTGAGGCTTGTTTTCATCCTTGCAAGGTTAGTGCCAAATTTTTGTTTATAAATCAAGAAAGCAAATGGAGCTGATCATGAGAAGATAAAATGTAAAAACTTGCCATCTGATCAGACAATGTACCAAGCCCAAAATATACAAACACAAGCTAAGATTTTAATGGTAGTATGGTGTGATTTTAATTTTCTAGTAGAAGTAGGTAGAAATACAAAAATAGCTCCAGATAAGGGTGGGGAATGCATCTAAATAACATGGGAAACTTTTATTATATTCCAAATTATTTTGTTTCAACTGTAGGTTATTGGTACACCTCAGAGACCGTCAGCGCCAAATACTATCCTGGTAGGAAGTCCACATACACCCAACACACATTTTGTATCACAGAACCAGACTGCAGACTCTTCGCCTTGGTCTGCCGGGTGAGCAAAATTCTGTTAAGTTACAGGGGATTAACAGAGTTGTGTGAACATTCTTCTGAAGTTCTCAGTTTTGGGTAAATGTGCTCTGTTGTTAAAATTATATTATGTGAAAAAGGGATTTAGCTTAGATTTACTCTTCTTCAGCGTTACTGTTTCTGTTATTAATGCCTGGATTAGATATTTAAATTAGAATGCATTTTCACTTTCATATAGCAGAAGTCAGATATCTACAGAAACAAACTGACAGGTATACTGGTAGGCAGTGTTCCTGCGTCACGTTTGTGCTAATAAATATTGACTCCTAACATGAGGAATCAAGCTGGCTTCAGCTCAGTGGTGTTAACCTGAATTTTGCATTCTCGTGTGCTATTAAAATATAAATGCATTAATTGTTTCAGACTAAATTAGCATAATTTGATAGGCAGTTTTAAAATAAGAATGATGTTTCATTCAGTTTCAGCAGAAACATACTTTTGGGATTTATTTCACAAAAGATTGTTTTGAAGGCTGATTGTTTTAACGTAGTTCACTCAAGTTAGCAGTACTATGTGTGTGTGGTTTTGTTTTTTTTTTTATAGTTGATACTAAATGTATTTGTTTTAACTGTAGGTTATGGAGTTGTTGTTTCAAAGGCATTTGAGCTAACAGGTGGAGGGAAATATAAACAGTTTCATTCACTAGTCTTGATATTTACATTTTTATTATTACTTTAAAGATACTAAGATTTATTGGAAACTTAAACTGAGAACTATCTGTTAACTATCATTCGTATTCTAAATATTTAATAACACTGCAAGTTTGAACAAGTAATGTGATTTATGCAGCATATACCCTGACTTTTATGGCATTTGTAGCAAAGTTGCATGTCATGGCAGTAGAAATCCACAGTTTGGCCATACTGTAATGTTCAATATAATATCAGTGAAGAAAGTGAATTAAGTCCACTAGACTTGCTCTCAGAAAAATGTTAGTTCCTGTAATTCACCACCACTTAGAGAGGACTTTAGTCCTCAATTTTTCTTCATCTTGAAGATGTTAATACAGAATTTTTTTCCCCTTACTCCCTTTACATTAAAATAATCTACCACTAACTTGGCTCTCTGGTAGCACTAGTGACCGGATTAGCCTGGTGTTTTATGGTCAATATGCTGCAAATATTATTTGTAAATTTAATTTAATCCATGATTCAAGCATGTAGTATATATGTGTTCCTAAAAAGGACAATTGTGTTTGCTGCTGAAAATTGCAATAGTGACATTTCAGACCACGGTGTTATTAACTGATGAACTTTCAAAGGGATAAATTTAAAACAATTATTTTGTAGGAAACGCAACAAAAAAGGAGAGAAGAATGGCAAGGGTTTACGACATTTCTCAATGAAGGTTTGTGAGAAGGTACAGAGAAAAGGAACCACCTCATACAATGAGGTGGCAGACGAGTTGGTCGCAGAGTTCAGTACCACTGATAATCATATTTCACCAAATGAATCAGTAAGTATACTGTGGTTGGGTTACATGCCATTTGAATGGGAAAAGGATAGCTTTCTTTAGAGAACTTAGAATTTTTTCTCCCCTTTATATTAAATGAAACAGTTGATACTGCCTGAGTTGGCCATACACTGTAATGGATTTTCAAATGTTTCTGTCACAGGTATGTTTTTGATTAATGCACTATGTCTACAGCAGGCTTATGACCAGAAGAATATTAGACGACGTGTCTATGATGCCTTAAATGTCCTTATGGCCATGAATATTATCTCAAAGGAGAAGAAGGAAATCAAATGGATTGGTCTACCTACTAACTCAGCTCAGGAATGTCAGAATTTAGAGGTATACATATAGAGAAGTCAATAATTAGAGATTTTTCTGTTTGAGTAAATGCTAGAGACTTAACTATGCTCTTATCCTGCCAGCAAACGTTCTTCCAAGCTAGCAATGTAGAATTGGATGCTTGGATTCTTAATAACTTAAGTATATAAAAATATAATAAAAGAATAGATAACCTACATCACTATACCATATCTAATTAAACATCTTATTTTCTTGCATACCACCTGCACCTTTTCCCCCAAAAATAAGCCCCCCAAAATTGGAGGGCACGTCTTAAGCAGTGAAGCTGATTTTCCTGTCTAAAGTAGAAGCACACAGCACAATTTGAGATGCAACTGGCAACGGACATAAAAGGCAATAACTAAGTATGTCAAGAATAAGAGGAACACCAAAGAAACTGTAGGTCCCTTTTGGAATACAGAAAGCAGTCTTGTCACAGATCATGCAGAGAAGGCTGAAAATATTTGATGCCTTCTTTACTTCAGTCTTCATAAATAAGGGCAGTTATCACATGACAGTAACAGTTGGCAGTAAAGACAGGGAAGGAATCAGACAGCCAGGAATAGTAGCGTAACACTGGATCCAGCCTGCAGAATTAGAGAGGTTTGCCTGTGCCCATGCCTACACAAGGGCCAGGCAGCAAGCAGTTAAACATCTTGCACCTGTGCCTGTGCCACTGTTGCTTTTTCTGGCCTCTCAGCTCTGTTCTAACATGGACTGGGTGGTTTTAGTGGTGTGTCAGTGTGTATTGAGGGGGGGTGCTCTCCCACACCGGGGCCAGGCAGTTTAGAGCTACACCCACACCTCCACTGCCCATCTGTGGCATAGAGACAGCTTCTAGCTCATGGGGAGCTGTGCTGGACTGGGCAGCTAGAATTGTGTCCATGTTGCTCTCTCTGCTCCCTCCCCCAGCTGTGACATGGGCACAGCTTTCAGCTGGTGTAAAGCTGCACTGGGACCAAGTAACTTCTATCTGTGCCTACACCAGAGCTGCAGGGGAGCAGAGAGAAGCAGCAGCAGTGCAGACACAGTTTGCAGATACTAGGTGTTGGTGTACCTGCTCCACTGTGGGGAGGTGGAGGACTGGGAGAAGCTGCAGTGGTGCAAGCACAGCTCCCAGCTGCCTCTCACCAGCCATGGGTGTGGGGAAAGTGATGCCAAAACCACCCAGCCCATCTTGTACTTGAAGTCAGGTTGTTATGGCCTGCAGCTTATAAAAAGGTTGCTGGCTTCTGCAATAGACCATACACTGAAAATGAGCTAATACTGTAGTATGTCCATGTTGCACAAAAGGCCAGCAGTAGACTGGGTTGTATTAATAGGAATGTCACTTACAAATCAAGAAAGTGATTCTTCTGCTGTGTTTAGCACTGCTGTGGCCTCACCTTGCCTGGTGTCCAGTTTTGGGTCCTATGATTCAAGAAGGGTTTGGACAGATTGGGAAAAGTCAAGAGTAGAGCAGCAAAAATTATTAGAGACCTGGGAAATATGACTTAAGAGGAAAGGCTGAAAGAACTAGGGCTTTTAGTCTGGAGAAATCATGACTAAGGGTGGATTTAATAACAGTCTTCAAATACCTCAAGGGCCATTAGAGAAGATGAAGATGGGCTCTTTCCTGTGGCCATAGGAAACAGGACTAGGACCAATGGATTGAATTGTAGCAGAGGAAATTTAGGTTGGAGATTAGGAGGTATTTTTGAGGTTGGTCAAGCATTGGAACAGGCTACTTAAAGAAGTGGAATCTCCATCCCCAAATATGTTAGAGCAGGCTGTACAGACACTTGGTTTACTCAAGAGATGGTCCTGCCTTGAGTAAGGGCTTGAGCTAGAAGACCTTGTGAAGTCTTTTCCAGCCCTACTTTCCTATGATTCCTGCTCCAAAGCCAACTGCCCAACAACAGCAGTGGTGTTTTTCTATTCAGGGAGCTTGGGAGTCAGTTGATTTAATGGCTCTTTTTTCTTCAGTCCACAGGTGTTAGTGATTGTCTGTTTTTTAATAGCCTTGAAGTTCCATTAATCAAGCTAATCTTTCTTCTGGAAGTTTTGCTGTCTGCTAAGTATTTCTGGTCTCTCCTATTTCACAGCCTTGCAGACTTAGGTCTTTTCAAAATCAGATCCAGTAAAGACCAGTTGAGAGCAATAGCTACAGTTACAGTTTTAGGCTGAGTAGGAAGGGGAGGGTGAGTGAAGACTAGGCTTTGTACCTGCTCTATGCAGCATTAACTCTGGACAAATTTTTTTATCTTCGTTCTGCCATCCCAAAAACAAGTTGCTTCTTAGCTGGGTGTGTGTAGTATGCGAGAAAATATGGTAATTGAAGCTTTTTAAAGATTATTTGGATTACATCTGATAAAATTCTACATGGAATTATATTATGCATAAAATAGCCCTGAAGTCGATTTAATTGAAATGCAAATATTTTATAATCCCAACATGACACTAGACCAGGGGCGGGCAGTTTTTTTGGGTGGAGGGCCTCTTACTGAGTTTTGGCAAGCCATCAAGGGCCACGTGACAGGCAGCCCAGGGCAGATTAATATTAATTTTCTAAATTTTTTAGGGGCCCCGTGGGCTGGATAGAATGGCTTGACAGGCCGCATCCGGCCCACGGGCCACATTTTGCCCACCCCTGCTCTAGACTATACTAAAAAGTAATTAAAAAAAAAAAAAAAAAACCCAAAAAACCCCCAAACATCTCATACTAATGTTATTCAGACATGCAACACATGTCTACATTTTATAGTGAATATAATTAATACACGCTTTAACATGCAACCGTAACACTTAAGCTTCTGGGTTTTTGTTTTGTTTTTACTGCAAGCCCTGCAGCTTTTTTTATTCCCTATCTATAGATCATTTAAATTTGTAGCATCAACATTACCCAAAAGTCAAACGTCTATATTTACCTCTTGTGTTGAATGAGGGAAATATAGTTGTATTAAGCTGGAAGGAACCGGTAGGCTCTGTCTGCTACTTCAAGTGCTTGTGACAGAATTATTAGGTTTGTAGAGTTATATAGTTTCTGCTGGCTTCATCAAAATAACATAAACCTTATTGTTTGTTCTAATAGTTATTATAGGCTCCCTTCTTGCAGAGTTTATAACCTATACAGGAACAAAAAGTTTCAATTCTGTGTTGTAAGTGGTCTATGGAGTGTTTATTCTGTTACAAAGTTCATGTTGATATGACTATGATAGTTGGTACTTCAGTGTCATGCCATTCCAGCCATCATTGACAAATGTGGCTGTTTTCTTTCTTTCAGAGTACAGATCTCAGTTCCCCGTCTTAATGGGAGGGGGAAAAGATCAAAGAATATAGAAGGAACTAGTTCATGAATCACAAGAGCAGTAGCAAGACATTTTAATGAGCTTCTCAAATCAGGAGGGACTACCATATGACTAGAAAATATCAATTGCAGCCTCTATAATTAAGGGGGGGAAGAGTGAAATCTATCATTTGCCTAGTAAATCTCCCTACCCTCAAAATAGGCCAATTACTATATATGTAGACAAAGGAGTTTTGAAAATCTTTACCCTAAAACTCATTTAAAGATGGAATCCTGTGGATATTTAGACTATTTAGCCACTTCTGAAATTTTTACCCAGAACAGAAATGTTCAGTGGGAGATTAGTGGTGATTACACTAATGGGTTCAAGGCATAAAATTTAGCAAGTGAGTGAAGCCTTTGTCTTGAAATAATCTTGAAAATAAATGTGGGTTAAATGTACAAGTAGTATGAAAATATCTGAATTGAACTGTGAAAATGATTATATATGGTGTGATTTGACATTGATTTTTAGATAGTTTATTCCCTAGATGTTAAGTTTTGAGACTTAAACTGTCTTTGCATATGATTTCATGCAATGTCAAATTTTAATTTTTTTCAATAATTTGAAAAATAATTTTAAGGTTATGAACTAAAAACTGGAAGAATAAAAAGATATTTTGCAATCCATTGGATTTTATTAAATCAGAGACCGCGTTAATATGGAATATTGTTTTAAAACTTTTTTTCCTTAAGGTGGAGAAACAGAGAAGACTTGAAAGAATAAAGCTAAAACAGTCTCAGCTACAAGAACTTATTCTACAGGTATAGTCAAGGTACTCTTGTCTATTGGGCAAGGTAACATATTTGCATAACTATTTTCTATTGGCACTTATTAGAAACAAACAAACAAACTGAAACCTTGCAGGGAATTCCAGGTGAACTGTAAAAGAATGCTGCCGGTGCCTGTGCATTTAGTGGCATAGACAAATTCTGTATTGCTCTGGGAGTAGCTGGCAAACTTCCAGAATGCTGTGTTGAATTCAGCAGGATCTTTGAGTATGTTTTAAAGCAGCTTTTTGCTGACAATGCTTTTAATTCCTGTTGTATTTCTGAATTGTAACATGCAGTTCTGACCATGCATTTTGAACGTTTCTTTATTTTGTGCTGCTTTTATTTTGTGGTTGCCATGAGTTGCAATAGTCACCACAAATAAAACGTACTAGTGTTCAAAACCTTTTATTTTTCATAGTCCTGTGACCAGAGAAAACAGCCTTCCCACAGAACTTGGCATCAGATTTAAGACTCAGTTAAACTCAAGTTTCTAGGTCTCAAGCTTGTGAAAAATAATTGTCTATCTATGAACTAATTCCTTGCTGAAATGCTACCTCTAAGAGAGAGCAATGTTATCTAGTTAATCTTAATTACTACATTGCAAACAGCGGGAGGTTTCTGCTAAAACTAAGATTTTTATTTATTGCTGTGCAGTGCAGCAGCAAAACATGGTTAGCAGCGGGGAGGAGGAGACAGAGTGGAGTAAATTGCCATGCTGGTCATTGAGTGTTCAGGCTTGCTTTTCTCAGATGCTTCAGCCTCCCTAGGTTGTGTAAAGCCCCAATTATGGCCATAAAACTTCAAGTTTTCTCTAATTTTCCCTAATGAGTTCCACAATATTAGGCCTTTTCATTACAGAATTCTGTGGTACCTTTAAAAAAATAAAATCTAGGTATATGCTGATCATATCTTGCTGTTGCCTCCATTTACAGCTTCAGCTCCTGTTATTGTCAGTGCATCTCCTCTGTAGAATAGATCAAAATATAGTCAGTTTCCTTCCAGATGTTTATTTTATGTCGCTAGAATTTTCCACAGAAAGCAGATGGCTCTCTGAAGAAATTTTTCTTTAGTCCAAAATCCAGTTTTCTGATGGAAAATGTTAATGTGGGGTTATGGTAACCTTGTCTCATATACAATTTTACAAACATCAAAGAATGGAAGAAATTGTGTGTGATTGGTATCTACTTTATTTTTCTTTAAAAATGTTTCCTATTTAAAATAAATGGACTAATTCCAAATATCCATTCTAATAATCTACAATGTTGGAAACAGGCTGTTGCTGCAAAGTAGACAGAATTTCAGTTTGCTTTTTTAAGATACTTGGAAACTTATTTTTTCTTTAACTTTCAGAGATGGGGGGGAATATGACTCTGGGTAATTCTCTAAGCTACTATTACTTTTTATAGCAAATTGCCTTCAAGAACCTAGTTCAACGAAATCGTCAAGCAGAGCAGCAAGCAAGTCGACCACCACCTTCCAATTCTGTCATCCATCTGCCATTTATCATTGTGAACACCAGCAAAAAGACTGTGATTGACTGCAGTATTTCTAATGACAAGTAAGTCTGCTAAAATTTTTTAACTATCCTTACAATGCAGCCAGGAGTTTCATATCAAAATAAGTCTACAACTTACTTTGATAGAGAAGAAATAAAAATAAAGCTACTTATTTACTTCTGTTGATAGGGAGCATTTGTGTTTGTTTTTTCACCCAGAACCATTTAGTTTGTATGTAGTAGAAAATGAATTTTCTAAAATTCTCATATAGATAAAAATTACTTTAGGAACTATTTAAAGCTTATTAACCATTTGGGTGCTGTGGAAATTAGCATTCCTTTTATGCTGAAAGCTAGTGACGGTAACTCTGTAAAAACGTTGTTGTCTTTTACTAAGTAGTTAGTTTCTTTGTTCCAAGGAAAATGACACACAGGCATCAGGCTTATGGCTAGATTTGTATTTTCTTTGCCCTTAATTTGGAATCCATATCTGTGTCTTACTGAGGAAACAATGTAGTGGTTGTCTATATATTTTGGCTTTAGGTTATCAAGAGTTGCTAATGAAAGGAGAAAGGGAGATTAAAGAAAAGAAAATGTGTACTAGGTGTACTAGATGTTTAGAGAAGGGCGAAGACTTGAATAACTTTTAAAACATTTTCAAGTAAATTGGGCTTGGAAATGTTTCAAAAAGGAATAGGCTCCCTGGCTCCCCACTGCTGGGATTCCTGGCCAGCTCCAATCCCTTTTACCAGAAAGGAAAGGTATAGGGGACTGTAGCTGAAGAACCTAGCAGTGGCAGCAGGCTCCTAGTATAGGAGTGGCCAAGACATGGTCTGGTACCTGACTGCTGCATAGTCTGGTGCTCCATCACCCAGCCTGTAGACCAGTGACGATGTGTAGGGGATGCACGGGGGTGCATGTGCACCCCCTATCAGGCCGCACTTCCTGTTTAGCAGGGGAGCAGGCAGGAGCACCAGTGCCGCCTGCCCCTCCCCCCCCCCCCCCC